AATGTATCCCATATGTATATATATATACAGTATATATATATTAAATAGGATATGCAGTAGTGATACAGAAAGATCAACATTTAATATCTAATTATCTATTATTATTAACATCATCTGTTGAAAAATATCTTCAATGACTTGTTGTTTACCAGGATAAAGCAAAACATTTATCCAGCTAATTTTGAGAGTATGATGTGAGTTTTGGTAATAACACTTCTACTTACCAATGACCGCACAGGAGTTGTATAATCTTCTGTTTGTTTGAGACAAAAAACAATACATTAGTGCTATCTGTCAGATACATAGTACATTAAAACAGCAGGCCTATGGGAAAAGCAACATTATTACAGTCATAACAGTAATAGAAAATGAAACAGCTCTAAAACATCACCTCACTGTTAGCTGCAGCTTAAAATGTCACAGAATACATTTTATTAAGTATTTCAAACTCATATAAAGGTAACGTACGGTACAGTAGTAGATAAATTTCAGCAGCAGCTACTGAAGCAAAAACAGAGGAGAAGCTGGTTCACAAGCTTCAAGGCAGCTTACAACCCATCCATTAAATCAATGTTTATTTGAACTTGTGGTTGTAGAACATATATGTAGATAATGTGATGTTTGACATTGTAAATATCTGTATCATTACCATTATGAATAACCCCCTCAATAATTAGAAGAGCATGTCGTATTATTTTAACACATAAAAAATATAATTTCAAATGTGTTACAACTAGGTGCTTGGTAAAGATAACCTGTATTAGCAAAAACATCTACAAAATTGATAGAAAGTAATCAGGAGCTTAACAGCTAACGTCCATGTGTCAATTACCCAGCTGTTAATATGACAAAGTAATAGTAATCAACAGTCTCTTACAATAGCAGTATCCCTGTCGCTACCAACATTAATTAACTTTATTAAGTAAATATTAACTGGCACGTTGTATAACATGACGCCAGCTCACATATTCAGTCAATATTGTGTATTTCAGCAAGCACATGACTCAGCCTTATTAATAGCATGCTGTTAGCTTTAGCGTTAGCTCGCCGCTAATAGCTTTAGCGCCATATAGTTTAACAGTATCATATGTATTTTACGCATTTTCAAGTCAATATCTCGACCACTCACATCCTCTTAATCGAATATGACTCAAACCAGTGTCATGTAGAAATGTTAAATCCTCATTTGTAGTGTTTGGACATTAACAGAGACTGTGCACCGACTTACCTGAGCAGAGTTCGACACAGAGTAGCGTGGGTTCACACAGACACACAGTTGAAGTCTTTGAAACATGCAGGAACACTCGGAAATGTCAGACTTGGAAACACATTACGGTATTATGCTGGCAAAGAATGTTTATTGACTTGCGTGTGCACGCTTGCATGCGTGTCTGTGTCAATAAGCAGAATGTCAGCACAACTTTGAAAACTGGTCACCTGCTGGCTAAGCGTTAGGATCGTATATTTGTCCTGCACATATACATATAAAAGACATTTGTAGAAAATGGAGAAAGAAGCTGAAAAATTACCTTTAATTGTACAAAACTTGTATAAAGCTGACAATAAACTTTAAGTACAGGAAATAAAGAAGGGATATATATAGTAGTTATCATACAAGTAGTAATTAAGTCACACTCATACTCACATTATTATTAGCAGAAGTATAATTAAAAGACGTGTGCAGTCTGCATCTAAACAAAAGAAAATATTAAAGAGCTAAAGTTAAAGTAATTATATGAATGTAGACTCTAAAGAAATGCAAAAGTAGAGGAATAAGAAGTAGTTTGTATGTTACAACAATTACACACCAAAACTATAGCAACATAGTAAATATTACGGGTGTAGCTCCTATAAACAGAAAGACAGCAGTGCACACACGGATGCAGTATGTGCGCGCGGCTGTGCCTGTCTCCTGTGAGCAAAGCACACTGCCAATGATAAGTGCTACTATCAAAATGAAGCAGAAACTGTCTAAACTTCTTCACCTAGCACAATTTGCTTAAGTGGTATCCCAAAAATGGTATGGTCTAGTGAATCCAAAACGCTCCGCCCGCTCTAGTGATGACGTCACAAATTCTAGTGTTTCCAATACACACTCTCACACAAGGCTGAAAAAGGCAGAAAACTGCATGTTGCTCCAAGCTAAATTGTGCAAAAACGGTAGGAAATAGCAAAAAGGAGTGAATACAACATTTGTAGCAGACAAGTTGCTGAACATTTTAAAGCAAAATGAGCTCTGTAGGTGAAAGTATGCAGAAGTTATAAGGGTGAGAAGGTGTTATAGCTGTAGGCGGAGTGGAGAGATTTCGCCATTCATTTCTAATAGAACAAATTTTGCAGAAAAAGTGAAATATTGCAAAAAGTATAAATGGTAGAAGGGTGAAAAGTAATAGCAATAATGTCCTGAAGTAGTTCATTAGTATAAAGTTTGAATAGTTAAAATAGCACAAAGTGGGAAGGAGTTCAAAAGGGCCAAAAAAGGTACGGAAGTATAATAACTAGAAAAATTGCATTTCCTTGCAGAAAATGCTTGGAAATGCTGAGTGCTGAAAGCCGAAAAAGCAATGCAAAACTGCCAATAAAAAATGGAGTAAGGTATGAATGGAAAAACTGTTGAAAAGGTGGAGTAGAAGAAGAAGACTTTGTATGAATGGAAGAATTGTAGTATAGCTGAAGGTAAATTAGTTGGATTAATGTACAAATTGTCTAATAGCCTAAGTGAAAAACGTATATGATTGATGTGAATAAACAGAACTGATAATAAGGATAATTGAATTTGAAAAACAAATGCCTCAAAATAATGTGTAACAATGTTCCAATTAAATGTACAAATAGTAAAACAGATTTTTGCAGTCTGCAGCATCCAACCATAGTAGCTTGAGAATGCAGAACAGCACCATCTATTGCTGTGCTTCAGTTACTGCCCTACATACGAATGCAGAAAGTATGAAACAGCTGAAGTTAAATTAATTGTATAAATGTAGAAAGTAAAGAAAAGCAGAAGTAGAAGAAAAAGAAGTTAGTATGTTAAAAGAGTTAAAGACAAGAACTGTAACAACAAAGTTAATATTGGGGGTGTATTTTCTACTGACAGAGAGACAGTAAAGGGGTGTTCAGACCACGTCGGTCAGTCACGTCGCGTGGCACCTTGGTGTGTTCACAACAGGTCCAAAGCTGCGGTCGCAGGATGCAGCTGGTCGCCGCTGACCCGCTTCTCCCACCTTTCTTCTCCCTCCTTTTCTCCCTCATATATACATCCCGCAGCCCCTTCCAGCGCTCGCGGCACACACACACACACACACACACACACACACACACACACACACACACACACACGCACGTTGAAACATGTAGCCTAGCAAGCAGGGGAAGTTTGCTATGTGTTCAGAAAATAGTCTGCTCACTGAAATAAATAAACAACCAGAAAGCCCGACATCATGGGCCACCTTCGCCCATGCCTCCTCCTTGGAGGTGCGGTCCCGGTAAAATGCGCACCCCACGTCGTACAGGACCGGGTGATAACTCACGGCAGTGATAAACTGCTCCTCCATTGTGATTCTTCTTCTCCTCCTCCTTGCTTCGCCGGTTTGTTGACGTCAGCAGAGCCCCGATTGGCTGTCGTGGCATGGAGTCGCGGATAGTCGCTCCCAAAGTTCAAATATTTGAACTTTGGGAGCGACGTGACTTGGCGTCCTGCGACCTTGGCAACGCGACCTCGGCGACCAGGTCGCCAAGTCGCGTCAGGTCGCGTCGCAGGCAGCCGGCGGTCGCCAAGTTGCGTCAGGTCGTGGCTGTCCATAGACTTTGCATTTGCGTTTGGTGTGAACACCCCATAAAGGGGTGTTCAGACCAAACGCGACCAGGTCGCGTCGCGTTGGTCAGTCACGTCGCGTCGCGTGGTGCTCTGGTGTGTGCACAAAGGGTCCAAAGCTGCAGTCGCAGGTCGCGGCTGGTCGCCGGTGACGTCATCCATGAGAACGTCACTAGCTCAGTTTTCAGTTCATCTGTGCTGCCGCATATCTGTACATCCGCAGTAGACACCGCCGGCGTTTATGGGTGCATGAAACCATCCGGAGGAGGACAGAGCTGGGTGAATTTCACCGCTTGCTCCAGGAACTCCGCCTGGACGACGGCCGCTTCCAGCGGTATTTCCGTGTGTCGACGGTGCAGTTCGAGGACCTCCTCGCCCGGGTGGAAAGCAGCATCTCCCGCCTGGACACGAAATACAGGCGCTCCATCTCAGCTTCGGAACGCCTGTCTATCTGTCTGTCCCTCATATAAACGTCCCTAAGCCCCTTCCACCGCTTGCGGCACACATCCACTGCAAAGACACACACACATACGTTGAAACATGTAGCCTAGAAAGCAGGGGCAGTTAGCTATGTTTTCATAAAACAGTCCGCTCACTGAAATAAATACAAAAACAAACTTACCAGATAGCCCGAAATCATGGGCCACCTTCGCCCATGCCTCCTCCTTTGAGGTGCGGTCCCGGTAAAACGCGCACCCCACGTCGTACAGGACCGGATGATAACTCACGGCAGTGATAAACTGCTCCTCTATTGTGATTCTTCTTCTCCTCCTCCTTGTTTCGCCGGTTTGTTGACGTCTGCAGAGCCCTGAGGCCTGTACTACGAAGCTGGATTAACACATCCAGGATAACTCTGCAACAACTCGCTAAACTTCACCGGATCTCCGCGATCCCGATCAGCTGTACTACGAAGCCGGCTATCAACTCGATAACTGAATCCAGGTGTGGCCACTTAGGATCTGTGCGCGCACACGTAAAAGGAGCGGGGTTAGCGGCACTGGACCATTTTCCACAATGGATAAAACATTGAGAGCGTCGTATTTCACCGCAGAAGAGCAAGATATTATCCTGCGAAAGTACGAGGAGTTACGAGAGGCAATTACGGCGAGGAGCAACACGGCCGCAGCCGCCAGGATCCGGAGGGACTGCTGGCAAAAAATTGCCGATTCTGTAAATGCGTAAGTCACTACGATGAAGATATTAATGTGTCATCACGATGACACGGATAGATGTCGCTTCATTTGTGCGTTCATTAATTTACGGTCCCAAAAGGTGTTGTAATTCAGTGTTTGATCACCATCATCATCGACCTCATGATTTCAGATGCAGCAGCAGTGGGGGAAAAAGAACGTGGGAGCAAATCCGAAATAAATATAAAAACATCCTTCAGAGTGGTTAGTAGGTTTATTGGCAGATGGTATTTGTACATACAGTATTTCATCATGTACACAGCGATTTCCTCACAATGTCTCAGCTGTAGGATGATGATAAACGAGGTCGTGTGATATTATTTGCAGCCCATAAGAAAAAATGTGCGGCCAAACAAACCGGGGGAGGGCCAGCTGCAGAAGACTTCACCCCGGCTGAGGAGCTGGCCCTCTCCTTAAACAGGGGTCGCCCAGCTACTGAGGGCATCGAGGGTGGCGTGACTTCTGACCCTGGTGGGGGTAGCAGCTCGCAGAGCTCCTGCTTTGTACAGGGTACGTTTCAGTGAGGCAAAGGCAAACCACTGACTTGCTCAAAAAGCACAGAGTTGTTTGTGAAAGGTGACTGCTAATGTTCTAATGTTTCTCCCCAGTGGACAGTGACACACTGACTGTCACGCTGCTACCTCCACCCAAGCAAAAATTGCCCCTTACAGAGGTAACTGCAAATTCAACCAGCCATTCACATAATTCACCTGTGGCTGCTTATGATTCCTTCACCCAACAAAACCTTTGTCATCATTGATGTAGGCGGCGGTGATTGATGATGAGACTCTCTCAGCCTGCTCAGAGAGACCATGGCCGGTACAACTTAGTCATTGTTCTTTTCTAAAGTGGTTCTCACAGTGGTGGGGAGATTGTGGCAGTTATTTATCAATGGCAAATTCCACAGGTGATGGGGTCTGCTGCTGGGAATGATAAGTGTGCTCACATGCTCTCTCATCCTGTGACTCAATTTCAATTGTTCTTCTTTCACAGGAAGAGGCAAACCCAGCTGCCCCTGAGCCAGTGGCCTCCACCTCAAGACCAGCCAAGAGAAGGGAATCACAAAATGTAATCCATTTTCAAATTAACCAAAGTTTAATAGGCACATTTTCAAGCACACAATGTAAAGAGGGAAATGCTTGGACATTGAAGCAACTGCATGTGTTTGATTTCAGCCCGGGGCCGACACAGTGAGGGCGCTATACAAAAGGCAGCTGGAAGAGGACATTGAGTGCAAAGCACTCCAAAAGAAAGTGTTACAGCTCAAAATCAAAAAATTAACATTACAGGTGGAAACACTGGAGTATGACAAACAGGTAACGCATAATCTTGTATAAAGAGAAGCAATGGCAATTTCACATGTGATCATCCTCCAAGGAAATTAGGTTACATCTGCCCTGCAGTGGGCTGCGCTCATGCTCACAGAGTACCGTTGTGGAATAAAATAATGTTTTTCCTTTTTTCTTACAGGAACGTGAAAAAAAAATACTTTCCCAATAAAATCAAAATACAAACCAAAATCATGCTTCTCGTGCCTATGTAAAAAATTGTTCAGTTATGGCCTCCCGGACAGCCCTCCCTGAAGGGAAGTCCACGGTGATGGGGTCCACCACATCAGGAGGGGGGGGGTCAACAGGAGGGACCCTCTCCCGCCGTAGGGCTGCAATATTGTGCAGCACCACACACGCTGCAATCACTCTGCAGGCCCTCTCTGGAGCCATCCTGAGCCCGCGGAGACAGTTGAAGCGGGCCTTGATGACCCCAAAGGTCATCTCTATCCTGACCCTGGTTTTAGCCAGGGCCACATTAAACAAAGTTTGTGGACCGGCACCAGGGTCAGGATAGGGGGTCAGTAGGTAGGGCTGGCAGGCGTACCCTCTGTCTCCCAGCAGCACTCCACTGAAGAGCCCTGCAGATAAAGAGGAAGAGCCTTGAGGAGCTGAAAATGTGGTTGACATCAAAGAACAAATTCAGTGTACAGTAGTTTTACCCTGCTCGAGTTTCCTGCACAGCTGTGACTCTCTGAAGATCCGGGAGTCATGCACAGAGCCTGGCCACTTTGCCTCAAGGCTAGTGACCATCATTTGATGGTCACATGTCATCTGCAGACACATTTGGTGTTAACAGGAGTTTTCGAATCTGCTTAAATACACTCAAAATGACTGATATGCCACATGAAACTGGAACTTATATTAGTATATTACAAATATTTGTGCATTGCTTAGACTTAACACTACCTGAGTATTGATGCTGTGGAAATGTTTTCTGTTTACATAGTCTGCCTCATTTGGTCCCAGACTGGCTGTAATGGGGATGTGAGTGCAGTCTATGGCCCCCATCACTCTGGGGAAGCCTGAGAAAAGAGAATTAGGTTTGAATATCCAAATACATACATGGAAAAGTATAATGTGGACTTGCCATTTATGGACCTACCTGCCAGTGCATAAAACCCCTCTTTGATTGCATGCAGAGGCAGATGTCCGGGGAAAATAACAAACTGGTCCAGCAGATCGGTCAGTGCCCTCGCCACTTTGTGGATTGCTTTGCAGCAGGTGTTTTTGCTGAGGTTCTCTGCATCTCCCACAGCATACATCACGCTTGGTCTAGTGCAGTGGTCTCCATATGGCGGACCGCGGTCCACTTCCGGACCGGGAAAGAGTCCAATACGGACCCGAGCCTACCGCAGAAAAATTTATGTTTTTTTCTCTCTTGTAGGCCTGCACGATGTACGTGTGTGCTATAGTCACATCGCAGAGCCTGCGATGTCGGAGGTGAATGAACTCAGTTAATTTCAAGGGTAGCTGACTGAGATCCACTGCATGTGACTCTGCATGTGCTGTGCAGCGATCCACCAATCACCTTTGTCCTTTACTCAGTTGCCAATCAGACTCAGTTCTCAGTTGCCAATCAGACTACCCTGCCAGCTGTCAATCAAAATCAGAGAGGAGGAAACCCACCTCTGCACATGTTCTGCACATGGAGGGAGACACGTGTCCGCTGAGAATTACTTTCGGAACTTTACTGACTGTTAAGCCCAACAAATAAGAACTGTATGGGTTTTAAAATGTATATTTCCATGGACCACTCTACTATAAGCGGTGCGCGTTTTGCGAGGTGCATGCAATTCTCGGAGGACATGCGTTTCTCGGCACAACACCGCTAACAACAACAACAACAACGATTGCAAAATGAGCAACGAACAAGAGAAAACCACCGAAAATTAAGATTTGTTGCCAAAAAGAAAAGGACAGTCAATCATCTGGAATTATTTCGGTTAAAAGAAGGGTGATGTCGACCAAAACACGTGTTCTGTGTTCATCTGTCGCCACAATAACGTCCCAGAACAATAAAAGCTAAAAATGTCTCCGAGACAGACAGAAGCCATTCTAACATTCACAAAAAGAGGTAAGATCAGTGCAGGTTAACTGTCCTCAAGACTTCAGCAGTGCAGTATAACATTAAATGCTATCCAGGTCATCTGGTGAAAATTCCTATATTTTTAATATCGCAATATATATCGCAGGGTTGAAAAAAATCGCAATGTTCGTTTTTTCCAATATCGTGCAGCCTTACTCTCTTGCTTTGTGCCTGGTTCAGTAAACTGCACGTGCAATTTCAGCAAGGCATTACATCACTTGCTTACTCGCTTGACTTGTCAATCAAATCAGACCTCTTAGCCGACTCGACACACGAAGATTATCGAGCAATCCCGATGTTGAAAACTGTCAGGCGGCAGACTGAGGAGAAAGTTGTAGCAGCAGCTAAACATGTCGGTTTAAAAACCACGAAAGGTAGAGAATGAGAACAGGGTGTTTTATGGCGAGTGGACCGAGTCATTTGGATTCATTTTACGCGCAGGAAGCACACAGCCAATTGAAAGTAGGCAGTTATTGGCAATACAAATGAAGTGAATATTTCAAAAGAGTAATGCACTGTAAAAAAATAAATAAATAAAAATCCCTGGACCCAGGCCTGCAGGCATTTCATTCAGGTGGACCCACTGAAAATTTATATGAAGACCCCTGGTCTAGTGAATCCAAAACGCTCCGCCCGCTCTAGTGATGACGTCACACGCTACAGTGTTTCCAATGCACACTCATTGGAAAGGCTGAAAAAGGCAGAAAACTTCATGTTGCTCCAAGCTAAATTGTGCAAAACCGGTAGGAAATAGCAAAAAGGAGTGAATACAACATTTGTAGCAGACAAGTTGCTGAACATTTTAAAGCAAAAATGAGGTCTGTAGGTGAAAGTATGTAGAAATTATAAGGGTGAGAAGGTGTTATAGCTTTAGGCGGAGTGGAGAGATTTCGCCATTCATTTCTAATAGAACAAATTTTGCAGAAAAAGTGGCTAGTTTAGGCCCAACTGTTTGGCGCTTGATGAGATGCACTTCTTCACAACAGAGACAAATAAAGGCACTTCTATGCCTTTGTTACTAAGGCATAGGGTGAAAAACAATACACTCAATTCATTCTTGTGTTACCTGTCTGGTTTGGCAAGGGAGGAGACGCGTCTGCTGCAGATGTGCAGTGCTCCTGTGACACGTCTTCATTTGTGCGCATTTAGCCTAAGCTGGGGGGAGTGGGGTGGACAAGCAGGTGCCCTTACCTGCTCCAAGAACTGTTAACTGTTCAATATACGTACGTGAAATCTGCTGATACTTACCTGGTTTCTGGGCCAGAGAGCAGGTGCTTAAGCACCAACTTATGTCCATTTTTAAATTTCTTTAGAGAAACTACCAAAAGGATTAATATAGTTCTATCTTATCTTCTTGAATCTAATCAAATCTGTAATCAATGCATGCCTCTGCTCATCTGCTTGTCAGCCTCATCCATTGTTCCATGTTTGTCAGCCTCACAAATTGGCTCATGTAGGTGAGAGCTCATTCATCTGTTGTCACGCATCTGTGTTGCTGGCCTTTTTTCATTTGTATTCAACAAGTCATGCCCCATTTAGTTGCTACATACAAATTTGAAATCTTGAAAATTGATCAAATCATCAAACTTTATTGATAGAGTGCTTTTCATACAAAAGAACATAACACAAAGTACTTTACAGTTTGTTGAGAAACCTAAAACAATCCTAAATACACCCCCTAACACATGCCACACAACAATACAACCCACAGTTAACAGTCACATACACAGTCCCACCTAAAGCCAGACACACACACACACACACACACACACACACACACACACGCAGTAATGCAGCCATACGTATGGACGCTTAGACAGTGAACATGAGGCAGAGTACAGATGAACCAGCACCATCAGAGAGCCATCAGCACTGGGAGCAGAGAGCCACCCATAGCCACAGGACACAGGGCAAGAGGAGAGATCTTCATTCTTGTTGGGCTACAGCTCAAGAAGTGATGGACGCCCAGCAGGGCTCACATGGCTGCAGGGTTGTCTGTTTGCTGTGCTTGGTACTTTGATTCCCGCTGAGCTGGATCTGAAAAGGGGAGAGTTGACAAAGGTGTGACACCAGTGATACAGACGACCAAAAACAAAATATAAGCAATTGGTGTGATGACTAGAGAGGGATACTTACCAGGTCAATGTCCAGCATGCAGGGAGATGCAAGTTGTTGCTCCTCAGAACAGCACCTCCTTCTCAGACTGGAAGCTTGGCTTTGAGTGGCTCAGTGACGTGTTGCAGGAATATGGCTAAGTATTAATGTGATGAAAGATGAGAATTAATGCCAGATGCCAGAATTTTTTAAATCATTGATCTTAAGATCATGCCTAAATCAATAAAGTGCTCAATCAACTTACAGCATGCTTGGGTCCTGCTTCAGTGGAGTAATGTTGATTCTTGTCAGAATGATGCTGCTACCATAATGGGTCCAACTTCACCTAATCGAAGCACTGAGCATGGCACATGATGGAAGCTTGCAGTCACTCCTGTTTCTGATTCAAGTTTTCATATAAGAATATCACAGACCTAGCACAGGTGAAGAGGGCAGTGAGGAGTTCTGGTCTCTGTGAGTAGTTGCTCCAATTCTGACCTGAGGCTGTTTAGTCCTGATGTATTTAATGCATAAAAGAGCTCCATTTTCCCTGGTGCTGAGTCAAAGAGGCACTTTCTGTAGAGATTAATAGTAGATGTCGCAACAAGCCAAATAAACTGACATGGTTAAACAGGAGGTACTTAAACACCAAAGGAAAAAAAACATTCACAAAAACTGTATACCCTCTATTTACAGAAAGATGTGAGCTAATTAAAGACCATAAGGGTGCAGAGGGGTGTTCAAAGCTCAGCAGGGATCACATGGCTCCAAGGTTGCAGGTTGCTGGGTTTGGCTCTGTGGCTTATGTCAAGCTGGTTCTGTGATGAGTTGAGAGGAAAGACAACAGTTACACCAGTGTAACAGACAACAAACTCAAATATCACACTACTGGTTTATAGCGACTATCCTGGCAACATTTTAGCCACTCGACTGGGTGTCGGGATGGGACAATGTTTTTGACGCGCTGTGTGTGATGAATGGATGAAGGGATGATTGTCTGATCCGTACTTACTTTTGGGTGAGGTTCCCATTTATTTTCAACATTACAAAAGACAGGTTATTTTAGCGATGTAGTGGTGAGGTGTTAGGCTACAGACCATGATTTTAGTGAAGGAGAACGGAGAGCTATGGACCGGCGTAGCGTGCGATAAAAACCGTGTAGTCTCCCCGCCACCCATGCCTCCTGACTGCCAACACATCTGTGTCTTAATTACTTCCTCCATTACCAGACACCTACAATCACACTAGCCAACACCGCCACCCAGTGACCACTTAAACTAACTAACAACCAGACAGAAAATAGACAATGGCTCCTATACGCCGGCCCCTAATTGTAACCATGTGACAATTAAACCAAAAAAAACAAAAAAGGAGCCATGATAGTCCGATCTTCATCCGTCTTCTTCTGATTCTAACATTACAGACACAATACTCTACGTTGGGTCATGACCTTTAATGTCCAAAGTTCAAACTGCTTCTTGTAGCAGAAAAAGCTTAGATACAGGCCGCTCCAGATGCCCGGTTTTCGTCCTAAAGTGTACAGAATGTACAAGTCCTCCTTTATCCGGATAGGTTTGTGTCACTCTTCCCAGAATCCATGATCCACGAGGTGCAGTATGATCCATGACAATGACAATGTCCCCTATCATGAAACTCCTCAGAGGCTTCGTCCACTTTTGCCGTTCCTGTAGTAGTGGCAAGTACTCTCTTATCCACCTTTTCCAGAATAAATCCGTGAGGTACTGAACCTGTCTCCAACGTCTCCTGATGTAAAGATCATCCTTATGGAAAAGCCTAGGGGCAAGAACAGGCTTTCCTTTAAGCAAGAGGATGTGATTTGGTGTGAGTGCTTCCAAGTCGTTAGCGTCATCGGATACTTTGGTTATGGGGCAATCATTCAGAATGGCCTCTGCCTCACACAAGATGGTATGGAGACTTTCATCGTCCAAAGACTGCTGATGTATCACAGAACACAAGACCTTCCGAACCATCCTTATAAGCCTCTCCCACACCCCGCCATGATGAGAAGCAGCGGGAGTGTTGAATTTCCAATCAATGCCCTTTTGCCACAAAGCACTGTGAATCTTTCCGTGGTCAGTGTTGGACAAGGCCTCTCTTAATTCTCGCTCAGCCCCAACAAAATTTGTGCCATTGTCTGACCTCAAACTAGCCACTTGACCTCTACGACACACGAACCTTCTTATGGCATTAATGCAAGAGTCTGCATTCAGAGAATAGGCTACCTCTAAATGCACAGCCCTGCTAGGTAAAGATAACGCCATATCGTTTAACCACAGCTCGTCCTCTCTTCACATCCAACGGGCCAAAATAGTCCACTCCTACATGTGTGAAAGGAGGCAAATCAGGTTGGATCCTCTCCTCTGGCATGTCGGCCATCTTTTGTTCACTAGGCTGTCCACGATGTCGTCGACAGACAGAGATATTATTCTTCGGCAGGCAGAATTAGCATTCGTGATCCAGTATTTCCGCCGCAAAGTTGAGAGCATATGGTTCCTCCCTGCATGTCCAAGCTGATGGTGTATGGATTGCAGGATAAGATTAGACAGATGCTGGTTCTTGGAAAGTATCACAGGGTGCTTGAACTCCTCAGGTAAAGCTGCCCGACTGAGTCTTCCACCCACTCTCAACAAATCATCCTTCCACACAAGATCCAACTTGTAGATATCACTGTTTTTTTTAACACCAGATGTTCCTCCCTTTAATGCAGAGATTTCGTCTTTGAAGGTTGCCTGCTGACTGAACTGAATAATGGCAGATTCTGCTTTGGTGCAGTCGCTCACAGTCAAGTATTGATAGCCAACTGCATCTCTGACCTTTTTCATCTCCTTCTCCACCCTTTCTGGCTGCATCAATGAGCCTGCAACAGTTAAAGAAGAAATCACTTCCTTTCTCCTTATTCTTAGCTCCAGGAGAATCTTCCTGAGCCGAAGAAACCATGCGACAGAGGTCTTGAGCTTATTCCAGTCTGAAAAGTAATCCATAAGCTTGGCAGTTGCATTCTCAGAATATGAATTGATGACATTTGCCAAAATACTCCTTTTGACCTCTGGATCCTGTGATGAAACAGGCTGTGGCTCAAAGGGTCTTGGCCAATCAACTTCTGGCTTTCTCAGAAAATCAGGGCCCTCAATCCATCTTCTGCAAGCAAGGAAGTTTTCCACAGTCAGACCTCTGGAGGCTTCATCAGCAGGCTTATCTTTGGAGTTGATGTACCGCCATTGAACAACTCTTGTAGATTCCCTGATGGAAGACACTCTGTTCGCCACAAAGGTACAACATCCTGTCCACTTTGACAGCCAGCACAGCAGCGTTGAGTTCAAGGCGTGGGATAGTTGTCTGCTTTAACGGTGCTACTCTAGCCTTGCCCAGCATGAATGCGAGATGCACCATGTCTTGATTTTCCACCCTGAGGTAAGACACTGTGCCATACCCACAGTCGCTAGCATCTGAAAAGTGATGAGGCTGTGCTAGCATGAGTCCTCTTATGTTCTTAGGCCTGATACAACGATCCACCTTAAACTCAGATATCCTTTCCAGGTCCATCAACCATCCAGTCCAACATTGCAGGAATGTCTGAGGTATCGGGTCATCCCATGACATGTTCTTCCGACACATCTCCTGCAACAGCAACTTTGGTAGTAGGGTTAAAGGTGACAGAAATCCCAAGGGGTCATAGATGGAACTCACAATTGAAAGGATTCCACGTCTGGTGTTTGGTTGCTTTTCAACTGCAGGTTTGAAGATGAAACAGTCACTTTCAGCACACCAACTCAATCCCAGTGCTGTCTCGACAGGAAGTGAATCTTGTTCCAGGTGTAATTGCCTGATCGTTTTTGATCTCTTGGTCTCAGGAATCGATGACAATACAGCCCGACTGTTGCTCGTCCACTTCACCAACTGAAATCCTCCCTTTGAGCACAAGCCGCTGAGATCCTTTACGAGTTGTATTGCTTCTTCCTCTGAGGGTAAAGATTTCAGGCAATCGTCCACATAAAAGTTGTTGTGGATGGTGTCTGTCACACTCTTTTGGAATTCAGCCTTATTATCCACTGCCGTCCTCCTCAAAGCATAGTTGGCGCAGCTGGGGGAAGAAACCTCCCCAAAGATGTGCACTTTCATGTCATGTCTTTGTGTCAGACTTTGTGTCATGTCTCCATTGGGCCACCACAGAAACCGAAGGAAGTCCACTTGCCTTTCTGACACTCTTACTTGATGAAACATAGATTGGATGTCCGTCATCAAAGCCACGTTTTCCTCTCTGAATCTGGTCAAGACCCCAAAGAGAGAATTAGTAAGGTTGGGACCTTGCAACAGCTGACCATTCAAGGAGGCTCCTTTGAATCCTGCTCCACAATCAAAGACAACTCTCAGGGTTTTTTTTCTTGGGTGGTACATGCCGTGATGAGGGAGATACCACACACTGCCATTCTTTCCATCCAGTTGATCCTCAGGCACTACTTCAGCATATCCACAGTCAATCATGTCATTCAGGAATGCTGTGTACTCCTCCTGGTAGGTTTCGTTCCTTTCAAATTTCCTTTTGAGAGTTTGAGCACGCTGTTCCACAATGCACCGGTTGTTAGGCATGGTGATGTCATCCACTTTAAAAGGTAAGTCCATGTAGTAGTGATTGTCCTGCATGGAAGCAGACTTTTCCAAGATCTCCATAAATCTTAGATCCTCCCTTGACATCTCCTGCCTCTCCTCCAACACCTTCTCATTGAAGTCTTGGTTGTATTGGGATATCAACAGCTCCTCCAGCCGGGCAACGGATATCCTATTGACACAAATGGTTGAGCAGCTTCTCTGGCAACAACCACTATTGCCCCACACAGGACCGTTGATGACCCACCCCAATAGGGTCCTCACGGCGTAAGGTCCATCGCCTACACTGTTTATGATCTCCCAGGGCTCCATAAGCTTTGGTGCATTAGTCCCAATTAAGACCTCCACTTCAGCATCCAACTCTGGGATCCTGATATCCTTCAGATATTTCCATCTTTGAATTTCCTCCTGTGTGGGAATATTACTCCTTGAGACAGAGATTGTTTCCTGGGTGTAGGTCTCTGGGAGTTCCACAAACTGATTTCCATCCAATTTAGAGACTTCCAGCCCTGAGACAACTTGACTTTCCACCTTTTCTTGGCCCATGGTGCGCAGAAGGATGTTGGTTCTTTTGCCTTGCAGGTTCAGCTTCTTCAAGAAACCACTGGTACAAAAGGTGGCTGTGCTTCCAGGGTCCAAGAAGGCGTATGTCTGTAGCACCTTATCTCCCATCTTAGATTTCAACTGTACTGGGACGATGGAAAGGGTACAGTTGTCATCTCCGGCCCCTGTACAACCACATGCCTGAAGAGAGACAAGTGCACTACTGACAGGTGTTTCTGATATTTGGCTCTTGTCTTTGCTATGGACGTGCAGTATAGTAGGATGTTTTAGATTGCATTCACTGCAGGTCAGGCGGCTCCTGCACTCCCTACTCATGTGGCCAGCCTTCAAGCATCCAAAACACACTCCTTTTCCTCTCAGAAAGTCAATCTTCTCCCGCTGAGAAAGCTTGACCAGTCTTGTACACTTGAGCAATGAATGTGACTCCTTACAGTAGAGACATGATTCTGAAGATGATTCCTTTAATGTTATTGGCTGCCTTGTGCTCCTGTGCACTGTGGATTTGGATACAGCGTGATCTGATGTTGAAATCGATGTTGCAAAACTGCTTCCTTTAATGTTGTTCCTTGGTACTGATTTGCTTGCATTTGAAACCCTCAAAGTGTTTGATCAAACATCAGAAATATCTCCAAACAATGGGTGAGACAACACTTTGACTTGCTTTTCCAGAAAGCATACCATATCTGAAAATGTGGCTCTAAAGCCTCGTCGCTCCTGAATTTCACATGCTGAAGACCTCCATTTTTCCCGCAGCTTGTACGGCCACTTCATTAAGACATGCCTCATATGAGATGGGGTGTTCAATTCCTCCATATACTGTATCTCAGTCATAGTATTGCAGCAATCTCTCAAGAACAATGCAAATTCCTGTAGAGCATGAACATCCTCCGATTTAATGACAGGCCATCCAAATGCTTTGTCCATGTAAGCAGTCACTATCCTGTGCTCACTACCAAAATGCTCCTTTAGAAGACATTTTGCTGTCTGGTATCCTTGCTGTGGCGTCATGTGAAGACAGCGTCGCACCAGCTCCTTAAGCTGCCCCCTGGTGTATTGTTCCAAGAAGTACAGACAATCTTGATAACTGCTGGTCCTCTCCTCAATACAGTGTTCAAAGGTCCTCATAAAGGAGACAAACTGCAATGGGTCGCCATCAAAGGTTACTATGTCTCTTTGTGGCAAAGTGGTTAAAAGTTGTTGTTGCACAAGCATGCTGGTGATTTCATTTTGCCTTTGCATAATCCCACAAATACCATCCTGATCCATTGTATTGTACACTGATGATCCATTTTGTGCAGGCTGATGCCTAGGCATGTGTTCATGTGAAATTAGTGGCCTGAGAGGTGCAGACTTAAAATCTGAGACATTTTGAGAATGAGGCTGCAGAGAAATTGCATGAAACATCCCTTTATTTGGTTGCAACTGTGGCTCAAGAGTGAGGTCCTTTGATAGTGATGTTCCGAGTTGGTCCTGTAGGTGGGTTTGCATATTAACTTAAGGTCGCACATCACACATTCCGGTTGAGTGGACGCTGGCGCGTTTGGCTGCCGCTGCTCACCGGTAACTTTTAACTTTTTAACACTTTTCCGTGCTCTGGAGACCAGCTCCCAGTTAAAGCTGGTCTCCCCTGGACTCTTACCCTGTAATTCACCAACTTTTACCAACTTTTTGAGCTCCCATCGCCCAGTGTGCCTGGTCGGGTAGCCTACCTACTCGACACATCACCCGGCTCCCCGTCTCATCATCTCCACCTCGCTTCACCATGTGGATCAGTCGGGTCTATCTACCGGCTACCCTGGTCACCCTGGCGTGGACTGCCCTGTCGCTCCTCCATCTACCCGTAGAAGGACCCCTCCAGTATTCGGCGGCGGAGTTTCTCAGACTCCGCTCCCAGAAGCCTGGACCTCCACCGGCGGCTCTACACCTCCACCCGGACATCGCCCTCCAGCCACGTCCAAGGTATATCCACCGTGGGTCCCGGTGGGCTGTCCACTCTGGCGGCTCCAAGAGGATTACCTCTTTCTGGTCCTCCACTCGTCGCCCACACAAAAACACCGGCCGGGCTGTGGACCACAGGGTGTTAGCCAACCTGGCTAGGTCGGTTAGCACTCCCCACAACAACAACACCACGGACGTCAGCTTCGGTCTGCTAAATATCAGGTCCCTCTCAGGTAAAGGACATCTCGTCCAAGATATCCTTGTCTACCGCAAGTTTGACTTTTTATGCTTAAACGAGACGTGGCAAGTCCCCAGTGACTTTTCACAGCTGAACGACTCCTCTCCGGCGGGGTTTGTTTACATCTCGAAACCGCGTGAGTCGGGACGTGGGGGAGGTCTTGCGATACAGTATCGCGAGACCCCCCCCACGTCCCTGGAAGGTCCTGCCTGTCTCTCTGCCTCCTCTCTCCTCACTGGAATGTCTAGCGTGTCAGCTACCCGGACCTGTCCCCACAATCATTGCCACTATATACCGTCCTCCCAAACCCCACAGTAACTTTTTAAATGAATTCTCTGTCCTTCTTACTCACCTCGCCACTCTCTCACCCAATATAATTCTGCTTGGAGATTTCAATATCCACATGGACAATCCTACCCTACCCCTTACCACGGACTTCTCTTCATTACTCGACAGCTTTGGTTTTCAGCAGTTTGCAGATTTCCCCACACATATCAAAGGCCACACAATAGATTTAATTTGCTGCTCAGGTCTCACCCCCTCCAACTGTACCGCCGACACATTACACATTACGGACCACTCCCTCCTCTCACTTAACGTCAATCTTCAGCTCTCCATCTCCAAAGCCCCCCGCACCATCTCATACCGCAACATAAAGGACATTAACTTGGACTCCCTTTCCTCCTACATCACCACCCACACCCTGAACCCCACCTCCACCCCTGATGATCTTGTCACACAATATAACGATGGACTGTCCAATATATTGAACTCAATTGCTCCTGTCACATCCCGCTCTGTCTCCTTCACTAGATCCGCACCTTGGTTTACCCCCCATCTCCGCTCCTTAAAATCCAAAAATCGACAGCTAGAAAGACTCTTCAGAAAAACCGGTCTATCCATCCACAAAGACATCCTAACAACCCAGTTGTCTCTCTATCAGGACTCAATACTATTCTGGACTCATCTGCTCCAATGCTGGTAACCCCAAGTCTCTCTTCTCTATCTACAACCATATCATTCAACCCCCGGACTGCTTTCCTCCCCACATGTACTCCTCAGACACCTGCGACTCTCTCCTCAGTTTTTTCAATAACAAAATCAGCAAGATCCATCAGAACCTGGGCTCCACATCCTCACCTCTTCCCTCATCTGAACCTCTCCCTCCCTTCCAACCTTTTTCCACCTTTATACTCCCTAACCCCTCAGAAATTGCTGACCTCATACACAAATCTAAACCTTCATCCTGCCTGCTGGACCCCCTCCCCGCTCCTCTGGTCAAATCCTGTCTGCCCTCTCTGCTACCCCTCATCTCAGCCATCATTCACTCCTCTCTGTCTACTGGAACTGTTCCCACCCCCTTCAAAACTGCAACCATCAGTCCCACCCTGAAAAAACCTGGTTCAGACCCCAACGACTTCAATAACCTCCGCCCCATTTCCCACCTCCCCTTCATTTCCAAAATTCTAGAAAAAACTGTTGCCTCTCAACTCCACACCCATCTCACTCACAACAGTCTCTATGAACAGTTCCAGTCCGGCTTCCGTCCCCTCCATAGCACTGAAACAGCCCTCATCAAAATCACTAACGACCTCCTCATGGCAGCTGACTCCGGTTTAATCTCCATCCTCATTCTCCTCGATCTGAGTGCGGCCTTCGACACCATCTCTCATCCCATCCTCCTCCATAGACTCTCCTCCATAGGCATTACTCACACCCCCCTCCACTGGTTTCACTCATACCTCACTGGCCGCACTCAGTTCATCCAACTCAAATCATTCACCTCACAGCCCTCCCCCGTCACTTCTGGTGTCCCCCAGGGTTCTGTCCTAGGCCCCCTCCTCTTCATTATCTATCTCCTTCCCCTTGGCAGCATCCTCCGTAAATTTGGCATACATTTTCATTGCTTCGCAGATGACACCCAGCTCTACCTCTCCAGCAAACCCGACGCCTCCCTTCCACCCTCCTCCCTCACCCACTGCCTCTCAGAAATTAAATCCTGGTTCACCTCAAACTTCCTCAAACTCAACTCCAATAAAACAGAACTCCTCCTGGTCGGTACCAAGTCCACTCTTTCCAAAACTGACAGTTTCTCCCTCTCCATAGACAATTCCACAGTATCCCCTTCCCCTCAGGTTAAGAGTCTGGGTGTCATCCTCGACAGCTCTCTATCATTCCACTCCCACATCAGTAGCATCACCCGGTCTGCATATTTCCACCTACGAAACATCAACCGTCTCCGTCCATCACTCACTCCTCACACCATAGCTATTCTGGTCCACAGCCTTGTTACCTCACGCATAGACTACTGCAACTCACTCCTTTTCGGTGCCCCTCACAAATCCCTCCATAAACTTCAACTTGTCCAAAACTCTGCAGCCCGCATCATCACCAGAACCCCCTCTTTTCACCACATCACCCCTGTCCATCAGCAGCTTCACTGGCTCCCCGTCAGGTCCAGAATCAACTACAAAATCCTCCTGTACACTTTCAAGGCCATCCATAACCTTGCCCCCCCCCACCTCTCCGATCTCCTCCACATCCCCACCCCCTCACGCTCCCTCAGATCCTCCTCCTCCCTCCACCTCTCTGTCCCCTCCCTCTGCCCGGCTCAGCACCATGGGGAGCAGGGCTTTCAGTCGCTCTGCTCCCAAACTCTGGAACTCTCTCCCCCTGGACCTCAGGAACATGGACTCATTACCCCACTTTAAATCCAATCTCAAAACACACCTCTTCCAAATCGCATACTCACTTTAACTGTCTACTTTCACACTTGTATGTTGTTTTTATTTATTTTAATTATGTTTCTAGCTGTGTTTTTATGCCCTGTAAAGTGTCCTTGGGTGCTCAGAAAGGCGCTTTTAAATAAAATGTATTATTATTATTATTATTATTATTATTATTATTAGAGCATGTGGCAGAGCTGGGCCTTGATCAGCAGCTGTGATGTTTCCTTTTGGCACAAATTCAGTTGCTTTTGGGTTGAACTCCACTTTTGCCACTTTAAGTTCCTTACTCAAATAAGAATTCATGCCATCCGAAACAACTGGAAACATCGCTGCCTTCCAGCACAGCAAGCCATGCAGCAGCAATGGCTATTTGTGCATCCAGCTCCATTTGCTCCTTCCTTTTCCTCAGTTTGATTGTTTCTTGCCTTAGTTTTTCCTCCTGCTCCTCCAATTCCTGTCTCCTTCGCAGAGCAGCAGCTTTCTCCTCCAAAGCTGCTTTTTCTGCCTTTGCCTTTAAACATGCAGTTGAGACCCCAGAAACATGTGATCTGTGAGAGCTGCATTTCCTGCTAGACCTTTGGGCTTTCACATTGGACACACTATCAGAATGATCAATGTCATCATTGCACTCAGCTTCCTAATTTTTCTCACCACCGTCATGTTCATTTTTTCCATCCACAGCATTTTCAACACCTGTTGCATTTTCAACACATTCAACTTCATTTTCCTTCAACCATGTTAATACCTTTTCAACAAATACATCATTGTTGGACACTTTTGCATGAAACCATGCTTCCTGTCTTTCCTGCTCCTCCTCAGGGAGAGAAAACTCAGTGAGCAAATTAGGTTTTGTTTAATTTGCTGGCTTCTTTAAACTTCCCACTCCTATCCTTCTGAAGATTTTCAAGCATCATCATTAGTCCTTTAGCAGTAGGTTTTTTAATTCTTTTTTCTGTTTCACCATTCTGGGTTTCCTTAGGCTCATTTTCAACAGCAACACCGTGTAAATCACTCATTTCAACGGATGTTTATTAGTTTGAGACGTGCTTTCAAAATGGATTGATGCTGCGTTTTTTTACAGCTGCGCAGCGCGTTTTACACTTCCAGTTAGTCCAAACAACATACTAGAGCCTCCAGTAACAATGCTTTACTCATCAACGATTTCACATGAAATTATTGAAGCCATCACGTTCAAAAGGCAGTCTCTGCCGCAGCCAACGCTTTTCCGTTTTCATCAATAATCCAGTTACGTCCAAACATATGTGACTTAACAGCTCTATGCACAAAGCGGACTTTCCGGAGCAGGAACTTTTCCTACCTTCCCACGGAGACAGATTAATGAATGATTACCAGCCAGAGCCCGGTGAGTTAGCAGCGCTGCAATCCACATTTCCAAGTGCTCCAATTGTCCAGGTGAGATCGGGTTTTTACTTGTGAAGTGAAGTAAAGCAGAACGGAGAGCTGTGGACCGGCGTAGCGTGCGGTAAAAACCGTGTAGTCTCCCCGCCACCCATGCCTCCTGACTGCCAACACACCTGTGTCTTAATTACTTCCTCCATTACCAGACACCTACAATCACACTAGCAAACACCACCACCCAGTGACCACTTAAACTAACTAACAACCAGACAGAAAATAGACAATGGCTCCTATATGGTTGTTGTGTGGAAAAGTCAAAGATGCTGAAAATCAAACATATTTGGTGAAGTTTAGAGCTGTCTCATCCCAGGTCAGTCACGCAGCCATAGTGTATAACATCAATAACATAAGTACCTGATGTACTTACCTGATTCCTATGGCAGGTGCTGCTTTGAGAGAGTAATACTGACCACTATGGAGAGTAAGACTCTCTAAAAGCAGCACCTGCCATAGAGACTGATAGAAGATGCAATGAATTTACTACTGTGGATTAATGTACAACTTTGAACATGAAATGACAGTTTAAATCCAGTAGGTTTTCATGCCGTTTTACTTCCAGGTTACAATGTCATTTTATTTTGACCATTACAGAGGATTTTCATCTCTGAATGAATCTGTCACATTCTATTTAATAAAAAATGAGTCATTGTAATAACCTAGGCGACCTGTATTGTTGAGATACAGCCAAGACTGTGAGAGACCTCCAACGTTCCGGGCGCGAGAGACCTTCAACGTTCATGCCACAAGAGCCCAACGGTTGTCCAGAAGGTTCAGCAACTTCAGAGTGAGCTAAAGATCTAACCTTTACAGTTTTTGAGACTTTTAAGTAATTGTCAGGTGGGTAACCTACTTCTCACGGGTATTTTACAATTTTGATTCATTTCCGTCACAAATTAAGACATAAATATAAGGAAGTCTAGCTTTCGGCATGTTTTCGCTCTGTAAATATCAGTGTAGGGAAATTGGCACAACACTTACCAACACGTTATTAGGTAACGGACGTTAATATTATCGCCTAGCGCCAACAACCACAGAAAAACATTGAATTTGGTAAAAAGTAACCAACGTGTTATGTACACTATGATAACTCCAGTGCAATTGAAAGAATATGGCCCTGTTTATTATATTATGATAGTTATCAGACGTTAAGTTAGCTACTTTGTACTGTAATATGTTAATATACTGTAACGGCTACTTTTTAGCCTATGAAAAGTTGGTTGCCCAACGTAACAGCTGAAAGATACTAACAAAAATGGCATTTGTCCAGACTTTATCTCATTGTATTTATATGACCGCTACCAACGCAACTAGCAGGTTTAATGACCTTACCTCTATCCCCGCATTTAAATTGTTTTTGAATATATCCTCTCTGTGAAATGCACAAAAACTTCGCCCCGACAGCCATGTTTACTTTCTTCCTCTTCTTCATCGACCGGATGATTGGAAATGTACTTTATTTGGTGTTATTGGTGGTTGGCAAACAGCTTGCCGGCACATCACCGCTTACTATTGACACAGGGTATAAACTACAGTCTTTAATACAAGTAATGGATTTACAGTAAAGGTAATATTTGAAAGAGTTTTAGCCAGAGGCGGCCGGTATACAAGGACGCTGCAGACGGAGCCCCGTCTGAGGTGCGTAAGCAAAGAGAGATGTCTGCTGTCTCCCTGAAAATTATTCTCAAAGTAAGGAAATGGCGCTATTATATGAATCATTCCATTAAATGTGTGATCTCTCCACCTAGCACCGAGGCGGACTCGGAACGTCTGTTGTCTCACGCATGCTAAGATCACAGTTCTGCATTAAAAAGTTAGCTTATCCTAGCCAGATAAAAAATGCTTTAGGGGCGCCAGGGACGAGCGCCCAAACGTCCGTAATTTGAATGACGTAAGCACATTCATAACCAGATTGGCCACAAACGGGCGCATAGTTACAGTATGCGTCTGACGTAGCTAGCTGCTCTACTTGGAGCTGGTCCACCCCTCACTCTGAACTTGGCTACTAATGACAGAGGATGTGGGAATGGCTACCGCAAACCCCCTACCTGGGATTTACCGGAGAACGCTGCGCTGTCCATCAAGTAGGTCCTGTTTGAGAGGAGAACTCTGCAGGACTAACTAAAGCTGAAGAGTTCGGTCCGGATCGACCAGACATCGCTGGTCAGCAACTGACCACCGAGATAAGCAGACAGTATTCGCGGACATTTTCAAGAGCACGGTATAGGCGCAGAGCATGGCTAACTGGAACCCAAAGAGTAAGGCCCTTTTGTGTTTCCCGTGTAAATTAATGGTGACAAAAAGAAATCATAAAGCTGGCAAAATAAAATTTCAGCTACTGAAAGTCAATCAGCAAAATCTGTTTGTGTCATTTTCCTCTGGCTGGTCATATAGATATGCAGCCTGATTTGTTATAAATGTGGGTCTGCTCTTCACTACTGTTCGGCAGTTGTCTTTGTGTGCTCCTTTGCTGTAGCCTAACCTGTTGAGATGCAGGTGGATGTACACAAGTAAGAGTATGCTACTGTCAGTTTCTATATATTAGGATTACATTGAATGTAGGTAGGCTGTGTGCCGGCTATAATGCCCTGTTGATAAGTTGAAATACAGTATCCCCACCCCATTTGTCTTTGTAGGTCAACATCGTATGTTTCCTTAATTATTTTCTTAGAAAGCACCAGAATGATTCATTTATCTTTTGAAAACAAAAAAAAATCTCCCAGGGGAGGATACCCCCGGATCCCCCTACAGGACTCTGTTTTCCAAAACTTCAGCCCCACCTATTATTTTTCTCACCAGCCGCCACTGGTTTTAGCCCTCCTACTGTGCTGTTGTCCTGGGTAAAATTTCTCAGCCCTGGGGCCTCATGTATCAACGCTTGCGGCGCAAGAAAACCTTGCGTACGCCAAAATCGGCGCACACGTCCATATTTATCATCGCGAAACGAGCGTTGGTTCCAGCGCTAATCAACGCAAAGTCAGGAGGTGGTGTAGAAATTGGCGTTGAGCTGATACTTGCGTTGACTGTGATTCGCACTTTGGCGACGCTGTGTGGCGGTGTTTGGTGACTCACTATGTGACGAGCGTGCACCACATCCCCGTGGCCGAGCAGCACGTCGCACCACATGATGAACCAGCAGCAGACAGAGGGATGCGAGCTGATCCCTGCCGGGCCGCCATCCTCGCGCGGGAGAATCTCATCGCCACAGTGTGAATGGGTAAGAAGTGAATACACAGTTCAATGAGCCAAATTAATTTATTTTCGCCACCAGACGCTCGAGGACATTTACGAGCCGGTCCAGCCGCTCGTTGATCCCCACGATCCCCCTGATGATTTCTTCCTGCGATTGCAGGACCGCCTCTGTGAGGACCCTTCCACTGCGTCCGGGTGGTCCAGCGGAAGCGCCGCGGCTGGTGGACGCTCCACCGCTTGTCGGCGCGCTGGTGCTGATGCTGGTGCTGAGGCCGGGGGCCGGGATGGCCCGAATGCCGCTGGTCCTGGCCGACGACTCCGAGCCGGCGGATGGGCTGCCGCGGGCCGGGGTTCCGCAAGCCGGCGACACGGCCGACACATTGATTTCTGTGACACAATAAAAATATTGGTTCATTTCAATTCCTGCTTCTGTGTATCTGTTGCGTTTACATCTCTCTCCACGGTATCATAGGTAATGTAATCCAGTATTTAGAGGTCAGTTATGCACATTTCAGTTATTTATCGCATAAAAAGTGATCGAAAAATGAAGTTTAGGGCGAAGTATAAATCACGTCTAAAAATAGACCGAATCCCGACGTTGAAATGAAGTATAAACTTAGACTAGACGTCTAATATACGTCTTTTGCTCAGTGGGATGGCAAAGCATGTGGACATTTGTGTGACACGCCACTTACCCTATAATAATCGCCACCACCCGCTGCTCAAACGGTGTGAGGGTCTCCTCCCCCGGACCCCCTCCTGTCTGGCCGGTACTCCTCCGGAGGGCAGCTGTACGCCGCTTGACCTCCACCTTGAGGTCCGACCACTTTTTTTTTAATCTCCGCGGGGTTGCGTGTCTCGGAACCCACCGCGTTCACCCTCTCGCAAACTTTCTCCCACTCCAAGCGTTTTCGTTTTGCACTGACGCCACTGGACAGGCTGCCAAACAAAACACGCTGTCGCTCCTCCACCTCCGCCACCAGCACCTCCACCTTGCACGCCGTAAATTTAGTTTTTCTTGTCATTTTGTCTGCATGCGAGGACAGGGAGACCCTATTTAAATAAATCTGCATATTTATGTGAGGGCGTAACGGGGACGGGCCCAGTCACTCCGACATCTGCGCTCAATTCCACGCTGGTTGGGATTTATCAAGGAAACACACATGGATTTCAGCGCCCGCACACATTGATACATACGGATTTTTTTCAGCGTGACGGACCTTGCGTGCGCTCGTTTCTGGTATGAGTTCCACGCAAGTGTTGATACATGAGGCCCCTGGTCAGTTTAACAGGAAACTCATATTCAAATGTGAATGCTGATGTAAGTAACTTGTACATATTTAATGAGCATTTTGATGGGCATTAACACAATTTGTCTCTATTTTCAGGATGTCTCTGCAGACAATTTTGGCCCAAAGTTCTACACCTTACCAGCGGCTACCACCACTGAAGGTCAAAGTTATTGCCCTTCAATCTCAAATGAAGGTGTCTGCCTGGGAATTTGCAGAGGGGGAGGCACGCCCTCTCAAAGTGCACAACAGTTGCACTGCTGCAGTGTCAGATAGGGTGTCAGTCACAAAATTTATTCTGTTCCAAAACCTTGCCGATAAAATAGTCGAGGGTGGCAGCTATATTATTAAAAACTACAGCGTTTCCAAGAACGGTGTCCGGCGCTCCATGCTGTCATGCCAAGACACCAACATATTTCACACCTCCCTTGTGGAAGTTCCGGCCAATGTAGAGGAGGAGGGAAGAAATATGATTTGCCCACCAAGCCAGAAACTGTCACTCAAAGACATCACCGCTAATAGGGATGGATTCATTACGGTGGAGGGCTGTGTTACAAGCGTAAGCATTTTATTGTTGTTGTTGATATGGTGACACTTAATGTTGTGAACAATTCATCATTACTCAGTTAAGGCAGTCAAAACCCCTCTGGGCTCTGTCCTATCCAGAGGTCTGTTTTTGTATAGTTCATATCACCTGGAGCCTCATGTATCAACGCTGGCGGCGCCAGAAAACCTTGCATCCGCCAAGATCAGCGCACACGTCCAGATTTATCATCGCGACACGAGCGTCGGTTCCAGCGCTAATCAACGCAAAGTGAGGAGGTGGTGTAGAAGTTGGCGTTGAGCCGATACTTGCGTTGACAGCACTTTGGCGACGCTGTGTGGCGGTGTTTGGTGACTCACTATGTGACGAGCGTGCACCACATCCCCATGGCCGAGCAGCACGTCGCACCACATGACGAACCAGCAGCAGACGGAGGGATGCGAGCTGATCCCTGCCGGGCCGCCGTCCTCGCGCGGGAGAATCTCATCGCCACAGTGTGAATGGGTAAGAAGTGAATACACAGATACATGAGCCAAATTAATTTATTTTCGCCACCAGACGCTTGAGGACATTTACGAGCCGGTCCAGTCGCTCATTGATCCCCACGATCCCCCTGATGATTTCTTCCTGCGATTGCAGGACCGCCTCCGTGAGGACCCTTCCACTGCGTCCGGGTGGTCCAGCGGAAGCGCCGCGGCTGGTGGACGCTCCACCGCTTGTCGGCGCGCTGGTGCTGATGCTGGTGCTGAGGCCGGGGGCCGGGATGGCCCGAATGCCGCTGGTCCTGGCCGACGACTCCGAGCCGGCGGACGGGTTGCCGCAGGCCGGGGTTCCGCAAGCCGGCGACACAGCCGACACATTGATTTCTGTGACACAATAAAAATATTGGTTCATTTCAATTCCTGCTTCTGTGTATCTGTTGCGTTTACATCTCTCTCCACGGTATCATAGGTAATGTAATCCAGTATTTAGAGGTCAGTTATGCACATTACAGTTGTTTATTGCATAAAAAGTTATGAAATGAAAATGAAGTTAAGGGCTTAGTATAAATCACGTCTAAAAATAGACTGAATCCCGACGTTGAAATGAAGTATAAACTTAGACTAGACGTCTAATATACGTCTTTTGCTCAGTGGGATGGCAAAGCATGTGGACATTTGTGTGACACGCCACTTACCCTATAATAATAATCGCCACCACCCGCTGCTCAAACGGCGTGAGGGTCTCCTCCCCCGGAACCCCACCTGTCTGGCCGGTACTCCTCCGGAGGGCAGCTGTACGCCGCTTGACCTCCACCTTGAGGTCCGACCACTTTTTTTTAATCTCCGCGGGGGTGCGTGTCTCGGAACCCACCGTAAATTTAGTTTTTCTTGTCATTTTGTCTGCGTGCGAGGACAGGGAGACCCTGTTTAAATAAATCTGCATATTTATAGGAGGGCGTAACGGGGGCGGGCCCGGTCACTCCGACATCTGCGCTGAATTCCAAGCTGATTGGGATTTATCAAGGAAACACACATGGCTTTCGGCGCCCGCACACCTTGATACATACGGATTTTTTTCAGCGTGACGGACCTTGCGTGCGCTCATTTCTGGTACGAGTCCCACGCAAGTGTTGATACATGAGGCCCCTGGTCTCCTTGCTTAAAAAAGGCTTCTAAAACCTTAGCCTTAAAGCACACAAAATGCAAATGTATTGAAATGTCTGTATCTGTGTATTTAGATCAGCAAAATCATGCAGATCATAAGCCAACACGGTCCACCGGTGCCTTTGGCTAACATAAGGCTCAAAGAGGTAAGTAATATTCTTCTTTTGGAAGTCTTTCCAAAAGGATAGATAAAGTAGTATCTAATCTAATCTAATCTGATCTGATTTGATCTAATCTAATCCAAACTCTCAATGCAAACAAAATTATATGTAGAATGAAGATTTAGGCATTAAGAGCTGTTAGTAATGCATTTTTTATGAGGCCTGTTTTATCATTATAGGGAGAAGTAGAAGTCAAGGTCTGCCTGTGGCGTAAGGCTACAATGGTTGACCTCTGCGTTGGAACGCCATGCAAGATGACACACCTGCGCATTAAAAATTCCCCAGAGTATGGCTTTTTCGCTGCACAGCACAAACTTTTCAGAGGTGAAAGTAAGTCTGACATTCACATATTATTTAATTCCTTGACCTGTTGCCCCCTTTATGATCACTGTTTTGATTCTAATCAGATCTGATTGTACAATCAAGTGTGCAGAAAATCTCTAAGCAGCAAAATTGAACCTATGCTTTGGTCCAAACATGATGGAGTGCACTGTGTAAAATATTTCTCCTCTGCAGATGACAACCAAGCAGATCAAGGTGTCAATCAGAGGATTCTGCGATGACAGGGATGACTGTATCCAGATACTGGATGACCAAAATGTTGACTGGTTTGTCCCCAAAAACATGTGGGACGAAAAAATTCCCAGATGCTTTGGCTAATATGCCAGAAAAAGTAATTATAATTTTTGAGGAGGAGAATGTGGTGGAAATTTTGTAAACAGATAAAATGAATTGACCTTGCTCTGTAAATAGTTAAGCTTTTAATTGTTAATTGTAGAAAAATGTTATCAACTTATTCTAGATCTACATTAATTCATTTAGTGGTGCTTGTTTAAAAATGTATTAAATAAAAATGTGAAAATCTTACAATATTGGTTCTGTACAAAAAACTAATCAACTTAATCTTTATCAATATGAATTAATTTAAACCAATTTTTAATGTTTATTGTTTTTCCCACATATATTTGTTCCATCATATATTATTTAAATAAAATTGCATGACTTGGATAATCGAAAATCCAAGAACTGTTTGAATTTGGTATTAAAAATTGTTATACAAAATGGATTTTGTAGTGTAGTAGTGTTTGTAGTCCTGTAGTGTAGGGACTCACCACTCTCACAGCATGTTGTGCCTGTTGTGCTGTATTTTCCCCCACCACTCTGCCCTTGTCTCCTTGACCATTTATGGTTTTGGTAAGTGTCTAGTTGTGTAGTAGGTGGGTGGTCGGCTAGTTTAAGGCAAACATTTAGGTTAAAGGAATAAGAGGGAACAAGCAGATGCCCTTATTTGTTCCAAAATCTGAAAACTGTTCAATATACCAACCTGAAACCCACTGATACTTACCCCGAATCTACTGCTTCCTACCTGACGCTAATAACATAATACCCATTTATGGTTTTGGTAAGTGTCCAGCTGTTTAGCAGGTGTGTGGTCGGCTAGTTTAGGCCCAACATGTTTGGTGCTGCATGAGACAGACTAGTTCACAACAAAGACGAATAAGTGCAAGTTATAGCTCAGTAACTGAGGTACAGAGGGGAAAACAATATGCTCCATTTATCTTTGTGTTACCTGGCTGGTGAAGCAGGGGAGGAGACGTGTGTGCTGCACAACTCTCCTGTGCATGTTCTGCCTAGGCTGGAGGAATATGGGGGGAGCACTTATCTGCTCAAACATCTGACAACTGTTCAATATACCTACCTGAAACCCGCTGATACTTACCCGGTATCTGTTGCTATCTACCTGGTGCTCATCACTTTATATCCATTTATGGTTTTGGTAAGTGTCTAGTTGTGTAGTAGGTGGTTGGTCGGCTATTTTAAGGCAAACATTTAGGTCAGAGGAATGTGGGGAAACAAGCAGATGCCCTGATTTGTTCCATTGCGGGTTTCAGCTTGAGGGCCTCGAGTGAGGGTAAAGAAACTGCTGCTAACTTTTAATATACAACACATCCTGTATCCATTAACATTCATCCTAGCTTCCTAGTCACGTAACAGATTTACCCTAATGAGGCCCAAGTTTGAATCCTGATGGGGCCAATGTTCGTTTTTTGTGTGTTTAATAAAGACTGTTGAACTTCTACTTGCCTGCTCGCATCTGGGTTACTTATCATCTGACGGGATGTGACACAAATAATTCATTCAAACTATTCCAATTTATTCAAACCTTCTTATCTTTCACATTTTTTCTGCCTGTTCCCGTTCTGCCTGTTCCCCATTCTGCCTAGGCTGGAGGAATATGCGGAGGAAGTCAGCTCAGTAACTGAGGGATAGAGGGGAAAACAATAAACTCCATTTATTTCTATGCCACGTTACCTCGGCATGTTCTGGAAGTTTGACACACAGCTGACTGGAAATCTGCTTCTAACTGCTATATGAGACACATGAATCCAGGCTCAGTACACAGTGTACAGGGGGTTACATTTAAAACCCTTCACTAGAGTAATTTGACAAACTTTGTCATCTATCCCTTCCCACAAACTTTGAGCTACAGAAACCTTGCAGGGCTCAAAAAATTCAGCTCATTGAGGACATTATGGGGTGTATTTAAGATTTTGTTAACAAATTGTATCAATGTGTTCAGTAGAGTCTTGCGGTTCTCACAACCTCCTTATCATGAATATAGCTGTTACAGAGGATGAGTATAGTCTGGGATTTTGTTTCTCAGCTTCAAGGCTCCTTTCTCCTGCATCTACGGTCCCCATTGCAACCAATTTGTGCACCTGGAGACACACAGCTGACTGGAAAGCTGCTTCTAACGGCCATCTGAGACACATGAAGCCAGGCTCAGTACACAGAGCACTGAGTGTTACATTTAAAACCCTTCACCAGAGCACCTTTGCTTTAAAATTTTCATTCACTTGTCGACTATTAAAGTTGTACTCAGTTTTTTGATATCTTTTACAGTTTTTCCACAATTTAGCCTTAAGCAACTCGTGGTTTTCAGCAAATTTCAGGCTTTATAATGGGTGTGTATTGGAGAGGCAAGAGTGTGTAATTAAGAAGCTAGAGTGGACAGCTCGTCTTTTTTCGAAAGAACCTTGCTCGAATACAGGTCTCAGAAAATTAGAATATTGTTATAAAGTCCTTTATTTTCTGTAATGCAACTAAAAACATGAAAATGTCATACATTCTGGATTCATTACACATCAACTGAAATATTGCAAGCCTTTTAATTTTTTTAATATTGCTGATTATGGCATACAGCTTAAGAAAACTCAAATATCCTATCTCAAAAAATTAGAATATCATGAAAAAGTATACTAATAGGCTATTTTACTAATCACTTGAGTCGCCTACTTAACTTGAAACACCTGCAAGGGTTTCCTGAGCCTTTAAAAACACTCAGCTTGGTTCAGTAAACTAAATCACAAGTATGGGGAAGACTGCTGACCTGACTGTTGTCCAGAGGACCATCATTGACACCCTCCATCAGGAGGGTAAGACACAAAAAGAAATTTCTAACAGAGCAGGCTGTTCACAGAGTGCAATTTCAAAGCACATTCACAAAAAGTCTGTTGGAAGGGGGAAATGTGGCAGGAAACGCTGCACAACCAAGAGAGAGGACCGCAGCCTTAACAGCATTGTGAAGAAGAGCAGCTTCCAGAATTTGGGGGAGCTTCAAAGACAGTGGACTGAAGCTGGAGTCCAGGTATCAAAAGCCACTGTTCACAGACGTGTTCGGGAAATGGGCTACAATAGCCGTATTCCCATGGTCAAGCCACTCCTGAACTCAAGACAACAGAAGAAGCGTCTGACTTGGGTTATGGAAAAGAAGCACTGGACAGTTGCAGAGTGGTCCAAAGTCCTCTTTTCAGATGAAAGTTTTGTATTTCATTTGGAAGTCAAGGCGCCAGAGTCTGGAGGAAGGCTGGAGAGGAGCAAAATCCAAGTTGCTTGAAATCCAATGTGAAGTTCCCACAGTCAGTGATGGTTTGGGGAGCCATGTCAGCTGCTGGTGTTGGTCCACTGTGTTTCATCAAGTCCAGAGTCAATGCAGCTGTGTACCAAGAGATTTTAGAGCACTACATGCTTCCGTCTGCTGAAAAGCTCTATGGAGATGCTGATTTCATTTTCCAGCATGATCTGGCACCTGCCCACAGTGCCAAAACCACCAGTAACTGGTGTACTGACCATGGCATTACTGTCCTTGATTGGCCTGCCAACTCCCCTGACCTGAACCCCATAGAGAATTTGTGGGGTATTGTGAAGAAGAAGCTGAAAGACACCAGACCCAACAATGCAAATGAGCTCAGGGCCACTATTGAAGCATCCTGGGCATCCATAACACCTCAGCAATGCCACAGGCTGATTGCCTCCATGCCACGCCGCATTGATGCAGTAATCCATGCAAAAGGATTCCCAACCAAGTACCGAGTGTATTAATTGACATTTTCAAATGTTTGATTTTGTTTTGCTGTTATAAATCTTGTTTTTTTACTTGGTCTGAGGAAATATTCTAATTTTTTGAGATAGGATTTTTGAGTTTTCTTAAGCTGTATGCCATAATCAGCAATATTTAAATAATAAAAGGCTTCTAATATTTCAGTTGATGTGTAATGAATCCAGAATGTATGACATTTTTGTTTTTTTAATTGCATGACAGAAAATAAAGAGCTTTATCACAATATTCAAATTTTCTAAGACAGTCCTGTATATCGCACCCACGCCCACAAATTTCACTCCACTGCCATAAAAAATACATCAAAATGGAGGTATATGTGTCCTGCTTCTCACAAAAGAGGTTTCAAATCATTAAATCCTACCCCTTGGCCAGCAGGTGACCAACTGTCCAAATAGGCGGAAATCTCTCCCATTAACCCTAATGTATTTTTTCTCCAAGAAAATCCTTATCGTCACTCAGGCTCAGACTTTTTTAACTTGCTGTTGTGGCCACATTTTTTGTAGTACAGACATGAAAAACACATCATTGTGTTCATGAAGGGCGGAGGATTCGTACAATGTTCTTATTTTCATTCTAGGATATAAGGAAATCACGCTATGTGAAGAAGTTCAGAGGCCCTAAATTCACTGCAGTTCAGCAGCTAGTAGGTCAGTTAATGCCTTTGTTCTCACAGCTGTTTAGGATAAAATCATTAACTAGACACACACAAACAGTCTGACAAAGTGTGTGCATGTGTGTCTGTATCTAAAAGACCTGCATGTACACACAGTTAATATGTGTCTGCATCACCACCTATCTCCATCCACAAACTTTGAGCTACAGAAACCATTCTGGACTTCAAAACTTCAGCTCATTGAGGACATTATGGGGTGTATTTAGGATTTTGTTAATTAATTGTATCAATATGTTCAGCAGAGTCGTGGGGTTCTCACAAGCTCCTTATCATGAATATATAAAGAGGTTGACCATCAGGGCCTAGCTGGAGAGCCATTTCCTCAGCTTCAAGCCTCCTCTCTCCTGCTGCAGTGTTACATCCAAAAATTCCGCTCATTGAGGACATTATGGGGTGTACTCAGGATTTTTGTTCATTTAATTTTCCCCACTTTAAAATTATTCTCATTATTCATGCATTATTAACCTTTCTGATACTTCAAACCTGTTTAACATTTTAGGACTTCTAATTATTTAAAAATGTTCCCACTTCAAAATCATTCTCATTATTTATGTATGTTTTAACTCTTCAAAAAAAATCCCAGTTCTACCACTACAATTACTACTTATATCACTTTAACTTGTATCTTCACTTCTACCACCACTGCTCTTGCTTCTCTTAATATTTATTTTACTTCTACTCTTACGTCTACCACAAGCTCTACTGCTTTGACTTCTACTTCTTCTATTCTAAAACTACTTCTACTGCTTACATGACTACTAATATCACTACTACAACTACCTATTATCATACTACTTCTAGTACTACAACTTAAACTTATGCCACTTCTCACTTTTCTGTGTTTTAAGGTAATTTTCTTTCTTATCCATTTTTTTTTTGCAATTTCAGACAGTTTTTCTAGCCTTATTCAGCATGAATGCAATTTTAATTTATGAAGCACATTCATACTATTTGCACTTCAGCAATTTTCACTTTCATCCAACTTCTACTTTTCTTTCTCCAGCTCTTTAACCAATTTTACATTTAAACCTTCCTCAATTTTTTTTTTTGCAATTTTGCATTGCTTTTTCAGCTTTCAGCACTCAGTATTTCCATGCATTTTCTACAAGGAAATGCAATTTTTGTAGTTAAGTGGAAATGCTGATTAAGCATTTCCACTTATTGTTCTTCCCGTCGGCCATTTTTCTTTAATAAACTTATTATTCTTCCGTACCTTTATTGGACCGCTTCTTCTCCTTCAAACTTTGTGCGATTTCAACCGTTCAAACTTTAAACTATTCCACCCCTTCAGGACATGTGCGGATGTATTTTTCTTTTTTCTACCCTTTTTACTTCTTGTTTTTTTTAACTTTTTGTGCCAAAATTTTAACATTGAAGTCAATGGGGAAATCGGCCAATTCTTCCTTTTATTCTTCCACCTTCATCCACCATTCTTCCTCCTACTTTCACCTAGAGACCTCATTTTTGCTTTAAAATGTTCATCCACTTGTCGACTTTTACATTCGTATTAAGCTTTTTGATATCTTTTACAGTTTCTCCACAATTTAGCTTTAAGCAACTCGTGGTTTTCAGCAAATTTCAGGCTTTATAATGGGTGTGTATTGGAGAGGCTAGAGTGATGATGTCATCGCTAGAGTGCAGACCTCCTCTCTGATCGACAGAACCTCGCTCGAATATATCCCTCCCACGCCCACAAATTTCACTCCACAGCCATAAAAAAATACATCAAAATGGAGGTATATGTGTCCTCCTTCTCACAAAAGAGGTTTCAAATCATTAAATCCTACCTCTTGGCCAGCAGGTGACCAACTGTCCAAATAGGCGGAAATCTCTCCCATTAGCCCTAATGTATTTTTTCTCCAAGGAAATCCTTATCGTCACTCAGGCTCAGACTTTTTTAACTCGCTGTTGTGGCCACATTTTGTGGAGAATAGACATGAAAAACACATCATTGTGTTCATGAAGGGCGGAGGATTCGTACGATGTTCTTATTTTCATTCTGGGATTTAAGGAAATCACGCTATGTGAAGAAGTTCAGAGGCCCTAAATTCACAGCAGCTTCTCATTCAAACAGTAGGTCAGTTAATGCCTTTGATGTCTAACACCTGTTAAGATGCATTAATTAACACACACACACACACACACACACACACACACACACACACACACACACACACACACACACATTCTTGTACTTGTTGCTCTGTGAGGTCTACCTTGCAGTTCAGCTGCTTTTCATTCAAACAGTAGGTCAGTTAATGCCTTTGATCTCACAGCTGTTTAGGATAAAATCATTAACGAGACACACACACACACAGTCTGACAATGTGTGTGTGTGTGTGTGTGTGTGTGTGTGTGTGTGTGTGTGTGTGTGTGTGTGTGTGTGTGTGTGTCTAAATGACCTGCATGTACACACAGTTAATATGTGTTTGCTTCACCACCTATCTCCACCCACAAACTTTGACCTACAGAAACCATTCTGGGCTTCAAAAATTCAGCTCATTGACGATATTATGGGGTGTTTTGAGGATTGTGATAATAAATTGTATTAATGTGTTCAGCAGAGTCTTGTGGTTCTCACAAGCTCCTTATCATGAATATATAGAGGATGAGCGTCAGGGCCTACTTGGAGTCCTGTTTCCTTAGCTTCAAGCCTTCTTTCTCCTGCTATAGTTATGCATCCAAGGTCCCCATGGCAACCAATTTGTGCACCTGGAGACACACAGCTGACTGGAAAGCTGCTTCTAATGGCCATGTGAGACACATGAAGCCAGGCTCAGTACACATAGTACTGGGGGTGACACTCAAAACCCTTTACTAGAGCGCTTAAAAAAACTTCAGCCCCTATCTCCTCACATGAACTTTGACCTACAGAAACCATCCAGGGCTTTAAAATTTAAGCTCATTGAGGACATTATGGGGTGTATTCCGGATTTTTATTCATTTAAATTTTTCACATTTTAAAGTCACTGAGTGATGATTTAATTTTTCAAACTAATTTAACTTCATTCAAACTGATTCAAACCTTTCTAATACTTGCAAACTTTCTGATACCTGAGGATTTTTAATTATTTAAATTTTCCCTGTTTAAATTAGTTTTAATATTTATGCATTCCATCCTTCCATCCTTCAAACAAAATCCCACTTCTAGTACTACAACTACTGCTAATGTCAATTAAACTAGTACTTTCCCCTCTACTTCAACTGCTATTGCTACTATTTCTACTTTCTCTACTTCTGCTATTTGTACTATTTCTACTTTCTCTACTACTTTGACTTATACTTCTTTTATTCTCAAACTACTTCTACTGCTTACATGACTACTAGTATCACTACTTGAATACTTATCATACTACTTCTAGTACTACAACTTAAACTTATGCCACTTCTCACCTTCCTGCCTTTTAAGGCAATTTCCTTCTTCATTCAAACTGTGCAGTTTTAGACATTTTTCTAGCATGAATAAAATTTCCTTTTATAGAGCATATTCATACTATTTGTCCTTCAACCAACAGACCTTTCGGTAGGCTCCGCCCCCAGACTGCGATGGTCCAATCACAGTGTAGCAAACAAAAGTCGGACATCAAGGCCGCATCACCCATTGAATCCCATGTTATTTAGGGCTTTTTCAGAAGTTGATTATCAATGTAATATAAAGAAGATTTATACTACATTACCGCCATGGTGAAACGTTGCTGCTGGGGGACCTGCAACAGCGACACTAGATACCCAGATCGTTCGGATGGGGCATTTTTTATCCCTTTTCCAAAGCTGAAGCGTGCCTTGGAAAAGTGCATGCTATGGATAAAGTTATGTGGCCGGTGTTGTGCCGTAGAATGCACCCCTGCCGTAGAATGCACCCCCTGCATTCCATCCACTCGTTAGCTTCTTAAAGTGGAAGAAAATGATCTCATATTAGGGTTAGGGTTAGGGTTAGGGTTACAAGTATTTGATCGTTACAACTTTCGTTCTGTTTTTATGTGTCTCAAAAATGCACATACGGAGGTGTGCTTGGGTATATAAATTGTATAGTAAGCTGTCAAGCTAGTGAACATTATATTTTCGGGACAGCAAATATTCCGAATCAGAGGGCTATTTTTTCGGCTTATCTGAATAGCCTGAATAAAATTATTAAAGGCACACCCTTATGAATTCATCCAATGGTAAGCAAAAATTGGATTATTTTTGCCTTGTTAAGTACTTTCAACCGCGCTCCCGTCGGGGGTGCATTCTACGGCAGGGGTGCATTCTACGGCACAACACCTGCCACATACCCAGCTTAACCTGAGGAACGTTACGAAGAATACCTAAATCTACACCAAGGTAAGTTGTTTGTTAGACTATTGATTTAACTATTTTTTATAACGTTGGCGTCAATTTTATGCTTTAGGTGAATGAGTGAAGGAGTCTGGCTTAGTTCATATATTAGCCGTAGCCTGGTCAGTGTAGTAGCAGTCCAAGGCTGGCTAACCATTAACATCACTAGCCTTATCCATATGAATAACAAAATAAAACATCCCGGGCTACATTATATTGTCAGACGAGGCTGTGTCCGTCCTGTCCGATAGATGCCTGGTAAAACGGTAGCCCTAACGCGACGGTCTGTGGTGATCTCGGACGGTCAGATCACCACAGACAACACCACAGACTGTTTCAGGGCTAGTTATAAAGGAGACGAGGGTCAGCTAAGTGGCTAATGATAGCTTAAAAATTTAATAGTTGTGTAGAACTTACCCTGCGATACACGAACACTCCTGTCCGGTGATACTGTCGCCGACATAGGAAATAACCAGGAGATGTGGTTTCTCATTCTTTCTTTGAGAGCGATACACTTTGGCTTCTATTTTGTTCGTAGAAACCTGAATATTGTGCACATATTCTTCCACTGCATATTGCAGGCCTTGTTGGTATGATTCTGTGAGATATTTGAGCTTTTTCTCAAAAATTCATCAATGAAAACATCAGGTACAGCCTTCATTTTCAGGTGCAAAGTAGGGGCGCCGCCATTGATTTGAACGCCGGTTGTGCAAAGCTTGTCCCTGCATAGCAACTGTAACTATGGGGGAGAGGGGGGGTGGGCGGAGCCTACCGAAAGGTCTATTAAACGATTATCCAACTTATATTTCTTTTTCACCCCTTCAACAGCTTTAACATTTATACCTTTCTCCATGTTTTATTAGCAGTTTAGCATTGCTTTTTCAGCTTTCAGCACTCAGCATTTCCAGGCAATTTCTGCAAGGAAATGCAATTTTTCTAGTTATTATTCTTCCGTACCTTTTTTGGCCCCTTTCAACTCCTTCCCACTTTGTGCTATTTTAACCATTCAAACTTTATACTAATGCACTTCTTCACGGCATTATTGCTATAACTTTTTACCTTTCTACCATTTATACTTTTTGCAGTATTTCACTTTTTCTGCAATTTTTTTCCCATTAAAAATTAATGGAGAAATATGGCCATTCCGCCTACAGCTATAACATTTTCTCACCCTTATAGACAATTTCACGCGCCGAAGTGTAGGGCGGCGCCATCGTACACAGCGCCACCGGAAGTTGATGTTTCTCACTTCCTGCCTGTCGTAAACATAGCAGACAGGAGGAGGAAGCTAGGAGCGTCGCTATGTCCGTGAAATGGGAACACAGCAGCTGCACTTTAAGTGGGGGTGGCATAACGATACCGCACCCGGATTCGTTGCGCGCCTGGGATGACAATATGTCGATCTGGCCGAGTGTTACCTACAGTAAGATTTGCGCTTACTTTGTAGAGTCCATGGCAATCGATGGCAAAGCTATGGAAAACCTCAAAGCCTCCGAAGCGTACCAATATCTACACAGCGGCAAAGTCGGATGTGTACTAGCATACAAACATGATGGCTTTGTTTATCTGAAAGCAAACGTCGAGCCCAGCCAGTGTTTGAATAATTCTCCGCATAGCGCCTGGGTGATGCTCAACGAAAATGGGGATGTGCAGACCGCTGGTTGTACATGTGTTGCTGGACCGGGACGATCATGTAGTCATGCGGCTGCGATTATGTGGAAGGTAAGCACAAGCTAAACATTGCGTGTTAAGTAAGATAAGTAACAATAGTCTTTTTAGCCTTGATTGAAAAGAGCTATCAGTTTGAGATTTCTGGCTTGAAATAGCATAAGGTAATAGAGTGTAATATGTCTATGGGTGCTGATAATACAAATGGATTTTATTTCCAAAGAGCATTTCTGTAACCTAGTGAACTGTAAATGAACAGGCTGTGTGTGATGTAGAATTATGGAAATCTGTGAACTCATTTTAATATGTGTGATCTGTGTTCTTCATATTCTTATAGGTGGAAAATGCTGTGAGGCAGGGGAAAACAGGACTTGCTTGCACAGACAGACAGAACAAGTGGAATGCTGGTTCACAAAGGAATGCAGGTCAAAGGAAGATGAAAGATGTACAATTCAAACGACACTGCAGGCAGAAAATCTACCAGCCATCGACAACAATGCAATCCTCTACCACAACATCCTCTACCACTACAAATTCAAGACAGGAAGCCCGACTCTTTGGGACTCATGAAGAGTGGAGGAAGCATGTACTAGCTTCACCAATGGCAGGACTTTTCACATGCCCGGGTAGTAGCCTCCTGCAACTCTGCCTTGATGGGGATCCCTCTCCCACGACACCACAATCTCCACCACTCCACAATTTGTCCCATGATGACCACCACACACCACTGTCTTGTCGAAAATGCAGAACCTTCTATGATGACTACGTAAACATGCCCACAGCCCAGCTGGAGAACATTGAGAAGCTTACAAAAGCACAAAGCAAAGTACAGGTATGTTGGATCAATAACATACAATGGTTTTGTCCTCACAGATATATGAAAATATGTTTTGCATGTGTAAAGAAATTAAAAAAAAAATTTTTTTTTCATCCCTTACAGCTCTGGCATGATATGCGTAGAGTGCGCATTACAGCAAGCACAGCTAGAAAAGTGCCAATTCGCTCAACCACCTCACCTGAGAAGTTTTTATCAGAGCATCTATATCCAACCTTCCATGGCAATGCTGCAACACGCCATGGAGCAGTGAGTGAAGAACACGCAAGGCAATTTTTAAATACACAAGGCCATACCATTGAAAACAAAGGCCTTGTGGTGTGCCCAGCCAAACCATGGCTCGCAGCAAGTCCAGACGGAGTGATGAACAAAGAGATGCTGCTGGAGATCAAATCACCTGTGCTGGGGAAGAAGTCGCTCAGAGAGGCACTGGCTACGAAGAATGCTGAAGTCACACCCCTAGCCGACGGACATTACCTCCTTGCCTCCAATGGTCCTAAAGGCTACTACATGCAGGTGCAACTGGGCATGCACTGCACAGGGCTTCCACGTGCATTGTTGGTGATCTGGAACAACACCGAACACATAGAAATCCAAGTACCTTATGACAAACACTTCCTTCAGACGCATATTACAAGGCTGCGCACATTCTACTTCACTCACATGCTTCCTAAAATCGTTGATGATTTTGTCAAGGGGCGCTTACAGTTGTGCAATACATATCTCACTCTTAAATAAGCAATGCACACAAACAACTTTCAGGTTGATTCAACTCTTGTTCTAAGAGCTAAGCTCTTACTGTGACTGAAATGCTCGAATTGTGCAATATGTTCATTGTTTAATACAATTTGATTCAACTCTTGTTCTAAGAGCTAAGCTCTTACTGTGAAATGCTCGAATTGTGCAATATGTTCATTGTTTACTTCAATTTGATTCAACTCTTGTTCTAAGAGCTAAGCTCTTACTGTGAAATGCTCGAATTGTGCACTATGTTCATTGTTTACTTCAGGTTTAAGCTGTGCAATGTTATATACTGTGTAATTAGTCATTGTACCTGTGTTCTTTTTAAGTTTAATTGCACCATTGCATTATTGCATTAAATGGACCACGACCACTTCCACTCATGTTTTATTGCTTTATTAATTCGTAGTAAGCTGCAAGTAACATTGACACTCAAAACAATATGTATCAAATATTGGATGCAGGAAATGTTTTTTAGGTGTTAGAAGATCAAATACAAATTACCAAATTTTACAAAATAGTCCAAATGTCCAAAAAATATTCACAATTGTATGTAGAATACATACATACATACAATTTCTATTTCCAGAAAAATATGCCTGGGCATTTGTAGACGGGGACACAGTCATGTTTCACACCTCATGACTCATGTGGCAGTCGTATCAGTGGACCCCTAAGGTTAACAAGGCCAGCGCAGATGGTTAAAATCTTATCCAACCTCGGTGTCATGGTGATGGGAATGGTTTGAGATAAAATCCTGAATACCTTCAACCTTCTAATGACCCTCTCTACATGGATGCGGGCATTGGCCACCCGCCTGGTGCGTGTCACCTCCTCATTGGTCAACTGACCACGCCTGTAGGTGAATGCAGGGAATTAACCGGACCTTTCTCTCATCGAGCAGGTTTCGAATGGTGAATCCCCGGTCCGCCATTACCTCATCACCAGCCCTCAGGTAGTCCAGAAACCCACTGTCCATGGTGATAAACTTGTCGCTGCTTCTGCCAGCATATCCGTCGGATATAAACATGATGACACCATTGGGAGCAACAGCAACAAGATATTTCACAGTGTTGGTGCTTTTGTAGTGGCTGAAAGTGTCACTTCTGGAGTCAAGGTTTCTAGCCCTCTGAATTGCACTTTCAGCACAATCAATGATGCAGGTGGTTCGAGGGTAGTTCTTCTTAAATGACAAGGGCAAGGTTGCATAAATGGTCTCTCTTGGAAGCCAGGGGATCAAGACTTTGAACTGCTCACCCATAACATCAATCCAGTGACCAATCACTATGCTTGCCATGCTTGTGGACACTCTGAAGCGATGAGCGATATCTCCTAATAATAGGTTTTGTCTGAGTTTCATTAAGGTCATTAGGATTTGGTCGACAACGGGAAGCTTAACCGATGGCTCACTGAAGGGAAGCAATGACGTCACTAAAGCGAAAAACTGTGCCTTACGCACTCCTGTGAACAACAACGACTTGCCATCATCAGTGACTGTAGTGCTAGCCACAGTAGGATAGTTTTCTGCCTCACACTGTGTTGCTTTATCCTCTTTGTTGATGGGCAGTTTTGTTGAGAGGTAGTTATGATCAGCAATCGTTGGATCTTGCCACTGTGTCTGTGCATCCCGATAAATTGGTGTAGCAGGCTCACATGCAGGCGGGCAGGTTTCAGGGACATCTGGTGCAGCAGGCTCACAAGTTTCGGTGACATCTGAACAAGGGAGGAGAGAAAACATGGAGTAAAATTAATGCAACTATGGAACATTGCTGTCACTACAGCATCACAATTTCAAACACTCAGACAAAGATACACACACACAACAAACACACTCCCAACAAACACACACACACTAACACACACAGTATGTAGCTAATAAATTGCACTCTGGTTTCTTATATTGGGGGCACTTTCTGATCAAATATTACTTCAATCTGATCACAAATATTTCTGTTATTCCAGGGTGTAGCCTACCAACTCATGTTTTACTCTATGGCAACCTGCAGCGCCCCTAAAACACAGATAGCAAACTGCTAAACTTGCAAGGCTACAATGTTTATGGCAACAATATACAGAGCAACTACAGGTTTGTACACAAAACTGTGTTATGACAAGTTCATAGTATTAGTGTTAGCTAAAGACAAGCTGAAGCAAAACTTACCCGATTGACGACGACTCCTTTTTCTATGGGGAGAGGAAGGGGTTCGCCTTTCAAAAGAACGTCTCCTCTTCTGGGGAGAGCGATTGTAACCCATCCAGAGCTCTGGGAAAGGATTTTCTTCCGTCGGTTTTTTCTCCACAAAGTGGAAGGAACAGACAAAAACGTTTTTGGGTGGTTTCTTCAGGTTCAACGCCTTCAGCCACATCCACGATTTGTAATCATCTTTTGGCTTCTTGAAAAATGAAAACAACGGGTCGCATGTACAATTCCGCTTTGTGGCTGGCCTGTGGTCAAAACACTCCCGATCAAGCCACTCGTTCAGACGCTTTTGTGAATTTTTGCATCCAATAACGGCGCACGTCCTCCCCGAACTACGTTTCTTTGTCGGTATATCCATGTTTGACTTTCTTCTATCCGTCTGTTGTTCTCTTTATCGAGTCTGGAAACGCAACTTACGCGAGCTAAGCTACCGGAAGACCAGAACATCATTCGGGAGAATGCGGAAGTAAAAGCGGAAGTGGCGTTTGCCGTTCGCTAAAAAGGTCTATAACATCAGCATACTTTCACCTACAGACCTCATTGTTGCTAACTTTTCTGCTACAAATGTTGTATTCACTCCTTTTTACTATCTCCTACCGTTTTTGCACAATTTAGCATGGAGCACCATGAGGTTATCTGCCCTTTTCAGCCTTTCCAATGAGTGTGTATTGGAAACGCTAGTGGGTGACGTCATCACTAGAGCGGGGAGAGCGTTTTGGATTCACTAAACCAAGCGTGATTATTTTGCTCCTACAGCCGCAATTTTCACTCCACAGCAATAAAAAATACATCAAAATTGAGGTACACTTGTCCTGCTTCTCACAAAATAGGTCTGAAGTCATCAAATTGTGCCACTTGCCCAGGAGGTGAGTACATCCATAGGAGCCAGAAATTCTGACCATTAACTCCCTGTGAATGTCAAGCTGCAGCTCCTCACTGCTAATTAGCCAGCCAGTATTTAAGCCACTCTGTGCCCCTCATTCAGTGCCAGATTGTTTTCGCAGCAAGCACGACTCTTCAGCAGTATTTCTCGGATTGACTTCTCGATTTCTACTCCTGCTTGTTTCTGACCACGTCTTTTCGTCTCAGCCCTTGGATCCCCTGTCAAGTTTCTCCGCTCCTGTGCATGCTTCAGGTTTCACTGTGTTGCCAGCTTCCCGACCTACTGCCTGTCTACAACTATCCCTCCGTCTGCTCCCTCTGGAATTAGTCTGCCCCACTGATTGTCTGCCAGGATTCGACATTGCCTCCACATCGCCCACGAGCCCAGTCTGCCCCTCGACAGTGCCGCTGCACTTCTCAGAGACTCTCAGGTGTAGTGTATTTTCCGTGAGCACTCACCTGCCTGCCTGTTGGACCTGTTTCCTGTGGATCTGTTGACTGCCATTTACTTGCCATTTAGTGACAACATTTAACAAGGGGAAAACTCCTGAATTGGATGGAGTGAGCCACTACTGCGTTTGTTGGTTTATTGACAGCACAGGCGTAAATACAACTCTTTATTTGCTTTAGCGAAATCAGAAAACTCTGCACATGTCCAAAGGCTTCTAATCTGAATACAGCTTGGTGCATGTATACACACGTCATGATCAGATTATTTGATTTTGCACCAATATAAACAGTGGAATCAGATAATTCGATCCCTCGAATTTTTAATCAGATTTTTAATCAAATTTTGCCCATGTAAACGTGGCTAATGAGAGCAACAATGAAGGAGAGACTGAGAAAGTGTGTGACTTAGTCCTTCTGAGGCTGTTTGATTCAGACACTGAAGAAGAAGACTTCAATGGCCTCAGTGCACAAGAGAAAGATGAAGATTGTGACCATAGGCGTCAGTTTAGGGGTGGGGGTGGAGGGGTCACCCCACTTTTTGTCAGGGGTCATTTTGTCTCCACCACACACAAATCCTTCAGTTGTATTGAAAATTTCGAAAGAGTGGGCCACTCAAAAAATGGAAAATGATGACTACACAGACATAACAAAACACAACGATATTGTTATATTCCCAAATGTCATCAATAACTAATGGCTATTGACTGATATTTAAAGATTTTTGTATGTACATCACAAAACAAGATGCTTCTTTAACGGAATCCTGCCTACCCCACCTTTAACACACAGCATGCAAACATACCAAATTTTCTAGTGCAACTCTTTATCAGTCAATTAATTAATCAATCAAATTTTATTTATATAGCACCTGTAGTGGCTAAGCCCCAGCTTGAAGCCACTGAGGGGCTGCAGGACAGGCTAAACTTGACAACGCGCTGACTACACTTACTGGCACGTCCAATGAAATCAAGTCCACTCCTTGTTTGCTTAATGTGATCTTTTATTTCTCACATTTTTGTAGAAACATCAAGTCCAACACCACAGCAATGCATCGGTAACGGAGATAGCGGTGCCAAAAGCATATCTTCTAGCGGTTGAAAAACTGTGCACTCTTCCGTCCGGAAACACCTGCCCAGTGACACAAAGTTCCCACCTTTATGACAAAAAGAAAACACACCCACCACCCGCTGGCATAAATTGGTATTGCATCGTGACAAAAATGGCTCCTACAGCACCAATTCACAACAGTCGTCATCCCAAGATCCTTGCCAAAGAAAAAGAGCAGGTCTAGACCATGCTCATTGTTTGATGAATTATCAAGGCCCAACCATAAGATGGGACAGATTTAACCCATCGCATCTAACATGATTGACAGTGGCAAGGAAAAACTTCCTTTTAACTGGCAGAAACCTTGGGAAGGACCAGACTCATGCTAGACAGCCATCAAGCCGCTGCTGGGTATGGGAGGAATACAGAGAGATAGGGAGGGAAAGAGAGAGAGGAGTAGGAGAGAGGGCAGGGGGGGAGAAAGAAAACAAGGGTGAAAGAGAGAGACAAGGGACAGCAGCAACATTAAAACAACAGCAACAACAACAACAGCTCATGCAGTTATGGTTGCAGAGCAAGTAAAAATGAAACAATATGAATTCAGTTTACAGGATTAAGATGGTGATTACAGTTGGCAGGTCCAATGATGGTTGCCTCTAGATTTATGTTATTGATGTCAGTTAGGCTGACGTACATGACTGCAGCAACGGTCCAGAGGAACCTAAGAGATGAAGGAGCTCAAGGCCTGAGGTTGACAATTATAGATGATGCAGCTGGGGAGAGAGAGAGA